TGTGTACCTAGTGCCATTAGAGACCAGAAGACAATGCCTGAACTAGAATTAGAGATGTGAAGGAAAAACAGAATGTTCTCTGTATATGACTTAAACAGTTATATCTTTCCACTGTGTTGATACTGGGCATTAAACACAGGTCATCAGGCTTGATAGCAAGCACTGAGCCATCTCAGTGTTAGAACACATCTCCTAGGCTAGCCTCTAACTTCTGGTCCTCCTGCTTCCACCTTCACGGTACTGGGATTACAGCACATGCCACAACACCCAGTTTTAAGATTTGATTTTCTATTGCACATTAGCAACTATTAGCCACAGAGAGAGCCAGTAAAATAACATGCTAGTGGTTACAGGAGTAAACTGTGTAAGTGAGGGAAACTGGAAAATCGAGTCCACAGGACTTTGTGACTCCATTGCCAATACACAGGAGTAGAAATAAGGAGTCAAGAATAGTTGACACTTTAGGTTGAAGAACTTGAAGAATTATGACTGTTAGTAGAGGTAGACATATATGTCGCGAGTCCTGTTTGGAAAGGTGAGACCTGGGGAAGCAAGGGACCTCACAGTGCTCTTCCTGACAGCAAAGTTGACCTCATCCCCCACTGTCTGTGTCTCATCCGAGAAGAGAAACAACAGGACAGTGTAGGAGGACAGCTGCACAGTCTCATGTGGGGACTCACTGGCTGTCACTGTCCTCCTTGTCAGAGCATCGTCATCTTAACAGTGGGTCGTCTGATCCCTCGGGTCTCTGAAGGAGTGACACATCTTCTTGTCTGGTAAGCAGAGCCTGCAATCGCTTGTCATTTGCTAACAAGAAGAATCCTTTCCTTTGAAACACCAGCTTATTTCTGTTCTCTTTCTATTTCGTCCTCTTTCTTGGCTTAACTGTTTTTCTCTGAAATAGTTTCTGCAACACCTTGTTTAGGTATTAGCATGCAACTCTGTCCTAGTTGGCTTTACTGTTACTGTGAAGAGACACCATGACCGTGGCAAATCTTACAAAGAAAACATTTAGTTGGGGTGGCTTGCTTATAGTTTCAGAGGTTCAGTCCATTATTATCATGATGGGGAGCATGGCAGCGTGCAGACAGACATGGTGCTGGAGCTGAGTGCCACATCTTGAAGACAACAGGAAGTTGACTGACTGTTACACTGAGGGAAATGTGAGAAAAAGAGACCTCAAAGCCCATCCCCACAGTGATGCACTTCCTCCCAAAAGGCCACACCTCCTAATAGTGCCACTCTCTTTGGGGGCCATTTTCCTTCAAACCACCACAAACTCTTAGAAGAAAAGGCTAACAGAATAAATACTGAATGCCTTTTTCTCAGGAATATGTAGGTATGCATTTATGGCTTTAAGTAAAGTTTTATTTCAGCCAGTTACTTCCCTCTTTTTCTTTTTCCTTCCTTCTTTTCTTTCAAAACAGTGTTATTCTTTATGCTTCTGGATTTCAGACATCCTGTGACAGAGTAGACGAGAGAAGACATTTGGTGTAAAATGTCTTCCACGGCAGTGGAGAGCTTATTCCCTTGCCTTTTCATCTTCTCTCAAGAAACACAGCATACAAAAGCTGCTCCCAAGCAGTCACTTGTGTGATCTACATAGCATCTCATGCCTGTGAGAGCCCAGCCTGACTGTGCAAGGAGCAGGTTTTGCATCTGGTTTTAAATAAATCTGGGAGCACTGAACCTTGGCCACATTCCCGTCTTTTAGGAATGAAGAAGGAAGTTCTTGATGCTGATCTTCAATCACTTATGTGGTCAAACATATAACCTTGGTCTTTCTCAGATCAGCATCTTTGTATTTATGTACTCGTTCCTTAAAAGTACTTAAAATACTTCTCTGCCTTAATTATGGATTCATATATGCTTTATTATGATTGCTTTTACATTGTAAACATGTCCTAAATATCAGGTAGGAAAGATTGTCTCATGCTTTAAAAATCTAACTAAACACGTATCTTTGCCCACATCCATAATACAGTCAGAATAGAAGGTTTTTGTGATCAAACGAATGATGTATAGATGCTTTAGTGTAGCCGGAGGTTTTCCTGTGCCCCACCCAGTCCTGCCTGGGCAGCAGCCGTTTTTATAAAATAATCACTCAGAGGCTTAATATTAATTACAAACTTTTTGGTGTGTGGCTCAGGCTTATTACTAGCTAGCTATTACATCTTAACCCATTTCTGTTCATCTGTATTTTGCCACGTAGCCGTGGTGTTACTGGTCTGCTGGCATCTTGTTCCTTGGGCGGCTGGATAGCAGGTGTCTCTCTGTATCTTTGCTTGGATTTCCCCCCTGGCTATAATCTGTCTTGCCATAGGCCAAGCAGCTTCTTATTAACCAATGGTAGCAACACATTCACAGCAAAGAGAAAGACCACCAACAGCACTTCGTTCTTTCTGTAGGTATGACTTTGTTGTAGTTTCTCATCCCTTCTTTCTCTTCTGAGAGCTGCCTTGCAGACTTGTCAGTCACGTAGAGTGCTTCATGACATAGAAAAATGACTTATTCTTAAGGTTACCTTAGTCTGTTCAGGCTGTTATAACAAAATAATCAACTGTGTAATTATAAACAACTAAAGTTTGGAAGCCTAAGACAGGGCTTCAACAGCGTCACCATCAGTGGAGGGCTTACTCTGCCTTCCATTTGTCCTTCTTGCTGCCTGCTCACAGGGCACAATGGATGGGTGAGCCCTTAGCCATCTAAGAAGAAGACTAGTATAAGACTTTAGCCTCCTAAAAGCCACCCCCTCAGTTCTTCAGCACTGTGGGGAAGGTTCCAGATGTGAACTTGAAGCAGTTACAAATATTCAGACTATAAGAAAGGTCACTGGAAAGCATTCTAGAATAGAAAAATTAGGTATCACAATTTGTCGATACAGATTCTCTTTCTGTCATACACTGGAAGGAGCAACTGACTTAAGTGTGTGTGTGTGTGTGTGTGTGTGTGTGTGTGTGTGTGTGTGTGTGTGTGTGTGTGTGTGTGTTAGGTTAAAATATAAAGAACGTGAGTGCCCAACAATATAGGATTAATTAAACAATCCATTCTGTACAACCAGGAAAAAATTAGGAATAAGGCAATGAAAATTAATGATTATCATCATCAGACTAATCTCTAAAAAATGGAGAAATTAAGGTTCACAATTTACCTTATAATGTGCTTAAGGTTAGATAACTAGTTTATGGAACTAGAATTTAAACTAACTCAATTTGACCCTAAAGTTCTTGCCCCCAGGCACCTTTAGGTAGTTCTGTAAACATTGGGGGGGGGTGTAGTAAAAATGCTTTTAATTCACCAAGAAATGTGTTCGAGATAAACCGTCAAATTTTGACAATCCTAAATGAGACAGTGTCTTCTGCCAGAGATGAAAATACCCTGCTTAATAGAGTGGTGTTTCAAGTACCATGCCTATAGAGATAGGCACCAAACAGGGGTAAATTAGAAGTGTTTCCTTTTATGTGTTCACTACTAGGAGGAGGCTGAGTGGATATACTTAGTGTTTTAGTGTCTGCTGCTGTGTAAAAGACCATGGCAAAAAACAGGTGTGGAAGCAGTTTATTTTGGCTTCTGCTCCAGAGGGATAAGAAGAGCCCATTATGGCAGGGCAGCAAAGCAAGCAAGTGGCAGAAGGCAGCAGCGGCAGGGACTGAGAGATCACATCTTTTCCCTTGAACACAAAGCACGGAGAGGTGACCGGAAGTAGACGGTGCTATACACTCTCAAAGTCTACACCTAGTGACATCCCTCACCCGCAAGGCTGCACAACCCAAACATCCCCAAACAGCACCTCCAACTGAGCCTATGGGGGAGACATCTCTTTACACCACACTTAGATATGAATAGTGATTGTCACTCATCAGAGGAATCATGGGTGATCTTTCTTTAACTTCATTCTTCAGATTGTGTTCTTGGTAGATATTTAAAAGTCGTACAATATAAGCAAGACTTTAATGCTTTAAAGCTTTATTTGAACAATATTTTTATTAGTGTAACATGCGTTACTTTTGTGTATTCTGACCCACAAAGTGGCTTTCTAAGATGCTTGGTGTAGCACTCATTTACCCAGTTGCCCAGAGTTACCAGTCCTCCTTTTTAGGAAAGATGGAGGAGTGAAAAGGATTTTAGAACATTTGATTATTTTCAAAACCTAAATTATTTATTGATGGCTGTTAAATTTTATATGTGTGTCTTCTGTCCTTATCACTTTGCTTTTTAATTCTCTTAGATTTTTCTACATGATTATATTATTTCATCTGTAAGTAATAACTTCTCCCCAAATATTTATGATCTTAATATTTATATAAAATCCACCCAAAACTGAATAGCTGTTTAAAAAGATGAAGAGTCAGTTCCTAGATAACATGAAAATGAGTCCTACCTAAATAAAACTAAAAAATTAAAGTTGCAGAATACCATGTAGAGTACAATCTAGTCTTACTTAGCAATATTTAAAAATACCGTATAAAGTGCTGGCTTTGAGACTTGTCTTCCCTGCACAGTTACCTACCTATCTTAGCTCAAACGACCATAACAAATGCTGTAGAATGGGTAGCCAAAATAGTGCTTATCTGTTTGCTCACGGTCTAGAGGTCTGAGGTGAGGTCCAAGATGGAGCACGATCTCTGCTGACTCCTTTCCTGGTGAGAGCGCTCTTCCTCACCTGCAGAGGCTGTCTTCTCTGTTCACATAGAGATCTGTGACTCATTTGCTCTTAGAACATGGCCATAGTCACAAGTTAAGAGTCAATCCTTTGACTTCACTGAGTCTGAATTGGTTCTTAAAGACCTTGTCTGCAGATGCCGTGACCTTGGTATTAGGGCTTCAGTATTTGAATAGCTTTGACTACACCCTTGATGGTGTGCTCCCAAAGTCTTTGTTGAATTGATTTTATTGTAGACAGGACTGGTTTTGTACTCATGAAAGTCTTTAAGGTACTTGTTGCTCTACCATATATTATAGGGATTTTATCTCAATTTAAACCATGAATTTCTTTTCAGACACAAAATCGAATGAAGCTAATGGCTGACAACTATGAGGATGACCACTTCAAATCTTCCCGTTCCAATCAGACAAACCATAAACCCTCCCCAGACCAGGTAAGATTGTGCTGGAATATCTCATTCTTTAAAAAGTATGCTTTCATATCCATGTATTTGGTGGTAGCATATTGCAAATTCTAGGTTATAAATTTAGAAGAAGAATCTCAGCTTTTTCTCTAATAATTCCTATATAAGAAATTGATGGTTCTGAATATCTTATGAGCATATGCTTCAATTGTTTATAAGAACTATTATTAAATATTTGCATTGATGAGAAAAAAAAATGAGTCCTACTTTTATTAAAGAATCGGTTCCTTGTTAGGAAACAAGACTTTTCTCAGGCTCTGCAAGGCACAGCTCAGGATAGAAATTACTTCTTGTTGAACTGCAGTTATATAGCCTGCCCATCTTCTGTGAAAGGTACAGCTGAAGGCTGGGATTTACCTAAGTGCTCAGTAGCTGCCCTAGCATGTGCAAAGCCCTGAGTTGAATTTCCAGTACCACAAAAAAATTAAAGGTGATAGATGAAACTTAATTTCTTCCATTTGTTTGTTTCCTGGTGGGCCCCTTCAGCATGACATTCTCAAGGATGTTGTTGCTTTCAGCTTGCTATCAATACAAAAGAGATATTCTTGAAACTGAAGGGAATCACACTCAATTGCAAATTTTTTAAAGGAGAAAAAAACCCTCCTAAGATCTTGAATGTGATGAACAGAGGAGAGCATTGAGCAGATTACCTCATATCTCTGTGCTCAAATCAGTTCCAACATCTCTGTCACACCCAGTCTTAAAATACATAAAAAATAAAGCTAAGGGGAAAACAATAGCCAAATAATTACATCCATATGACTGCAAAGTCAAGGAAAACTCCCCTGCTAAACATCTCTGCCGAGTGACAACTGTGGCATTGTCTTAGAAGTAGCCATAGAAACTGGGTCGATGAAAGAAGCAGCTGATATCCAAATTGTTAGTCTAAGACCCAGAAGGAGTGCTTGCTTCTATGTGATGTCTAAGCCAGCCGAGACACACCTAATCCTTCAGAGGGGAAACAGACTCAGCCTTCCATACAGTGGAGAGCTGTCTGCTTGGTATCCCCTACCTCCAAACCACTGTTTGCTTCGCCTGCTTCCTGCTACTGGAATCCAGACTAGCTAGCCTCTGCAGGACATGTCAGGTATTTTCCATGGAGCAGGTTTAGATAGGAGGTGGAGGTGATTGGAGTGGGGAGAAAGGCAACAAGCAGATCCTACAGAAAAGCTCTGACTTGATTAATGTTTCACACCCAGCTCTGGGAAAGGCAGAAGAAAAACATGGAACCGTAAACTAATTACTAATTTGTAATTTAGAGGACTAGAACCTAATGTAAAGAAAGCCAAGAACTTCTTTTCTGCTACATTATGTTTGTGTCTTTGTTTTAATACTAACCAACTCTTTTTCATTCCCATGCTGCCCTGGGGCATTGTTCCCATGTCATCTCTCCCCGTAGGATGAGGAGGAGGGTATATGGGCATAGCCAATCAGATGCTCTTAGTTCAGCCATTTTGTTCAGAACGGTGAGAACAGCTTTCCTTAACTACAGAAATGATTTTCGTTTGTTTCCATTTCTCTTTCTCGGTGATCACCTTCACATCTTGCTCTGTACAGTCATGAACCCTGTGTGCTCCTGCTCCTTCACTTTCACGTGATTCTTGTGTGGATTGCTGTGCTTTTGACAGAGTGGCTTTTAGTTCTTTCTGTGTGTTAATGGTCACGTTATAATTTCTTTCTGTACATTTTGGGCAGAACTTCCAGGGCATATAACCAAATTTCTACAATTAATGATTTTATTGCTAAATCATCCTATCTCTAGTGACTTTACAGTGTCCTGGTTAGTAACCTACTGCAAATTGACATGGGAGGCAGACAAATGTGCTGCTATTAGCCTATGTTAGAAATATACTTTATGATACTTATAAATATATAGTCTGTTTTATTTTTGTTTTAAAATCACTGTGCTGTGAACTATATTGTACCTCCTCACATGTTCTCTCTGCCTATGGAAGAATATGCTGGATTCTGAGGGTCAGGACCTAGGATGTCCCTAGGGCTTTGACATTACTCTTAGAATATCAATAAAGAAAAGGAGGAACAAAGAAATAAAAGAGGTTTTTTTCTTTCTTTTTTTTTTTTTTTTTAGCAAAAAAATAAAATGTTTTAAATTCCTTTTCATAGATTGCTGCTGTGGTCAGCAGCTGCCAGGACACTGTCTAGATTCCTCTTAACAGGCCAGTTGGCTGGAAAACAGTCCAGCTGTGGTGGTGTCTTCCTTTGATCTGATGCCCTTGAGGTTTGACTAAGGAAATCAGTTTCTAGGAAAGTGATCATTGTGATTACTAAGCTCACACATCCTGGTGGCCTTGCATCCGCTGGACACACTGCCCATGCTTATGTTGACCTCACTCCTTTGGAGTCATTTCTCCCTGAAATGTCTGTGTCTTGATGTTAAACTGCTCAAAAATGTAACTGTGTCAACCTCTGAATATTGAATACAGCCAAGAAGGATAAGAGGTAAGTTGTTTAATGGCCAGCTTGCCATATGACTTTTAGCAGCAGGTGTGAAATATGCAGAACCAGAAAGTGTGTTGTATATCAGAGAAAGCTAGAAATCAAAGGAAATCTGTGTCCTGATTGTCTGCACACTCCAGAAGCATGTATTTGTCACCATGCGGCATGTAGGAGTCACACAATAGCTGTAGTTTAGTAGTCATTTGTAAACGAATTTGATTCTACCTTATATGAACAGAGCTGTTTTACCTGTAGCCCTTTTTCTAGTCAATGATAATAAACACATTGTTTTAGGAAACAAGGTTACTGGGTACTTTCATCAGGAGATTGAAAAATAAACAAGCCATCTCATGTCCTGGGCCCAGAATCATACATGTCTGCTGCTATGACGGAGCGGCCTCTGTAACATGCTTCCTCTGCTCTTGCACTTACCCTTTCCCAGCTGTATTCTTAGGGATCACCTGCACCTGCTTCTGCCAATGGCTCCCACAGCACCTGTGCAGCTAGCTCACCAGACCTGTTGTTTTTACAGTACAAAACTGCATACTTTCTAAACTTTGCCACGAACTGTATATGGTAAAACAATTTACCTAAGAAAAAGCACTAACAAGGACTGGGGTTACGATGTATGCATATACTACCAGCATTTGGAAAGCTAAGGCAAAAAGATTCCATGTTCAAGGCCATCTTGGGCTATATAGCAAGACCGTGTCTCAAAAACAAGATCAAGAGTTGTATGAGTGATCCCTAAAGCACTGCAGGAGTCTTGGCTTCTTTTTCTCCTGCATTCATTTCTTTGTTGTTTCTACAGAGAATAGATTTTCTCAACAAAATTGTGAATTTGAAAATGATATTTCCTTACCAACTTAAGAACTTAAGGTTTTGTCTAAAGCGTTTTGTAAGACAACACTCATTGCTGAGGCTTGAGCCTAAAGTAGACACCAGAAGTGATCAGAGCTGAGAGGTCTGAGTTGGGCCAGACTGGAGACTGCAGAGCCTGAGGGTTCTGTGTGAAGCCTTGAACAGTCTCTGTTCAGTGCTCACAGTAGCACCTGCTGCTGAGTGTGGCCTCTCTACTCTGACTTCCCTGTATGAGGCAGTGGTGGTAAGAAGTAGAGAGGTGAGGCC